TCACAGGACAATGGAAAAGTAAGCAGGAACACTAACGCCCAGATATGCAGACAGCACATGTGGATCTACTAAAGGACTTAGTGGTCTACCTCTTTCATGTTACATGCCATTCCACTTAGATTTTAAAGTTCTTTCATCCTTCTCCATCTTGCTTTCACCTAAAAGCCAATTGACATCATTACAGACAACAATTAAACTGACATCTATGGATCTATTTATAAACTGATTCCTGAGTTTCCCAACATTTTGGCATTTGAAGAATTTGAAATTTCTTGTATTTCATGGCATGAAGCACTCATAAATAATGTACATTTAAAAAGCTTTCATGAAAATTATCTGAAACTTATTCTTTGGCTGGAATTATGAGTATAGCAATGTTAAAAGTCAGCTAAGCCTGTCCTGGGCAGGAGTCTAACAAAACTCAACACTAAGCTCCTAGGATCAACAAGAGGAAGCTGATACATAATGAATCATGAGGAGAGTTGATGAGCTAACTGAGGTAACACTCTCAGTCATTCTGTATAACAAAGAGCAGACAGATCGGGTGTTTAATTAAAAGAATCTTACTGTCACAGAGTCACTCATACCTTGGCAGTTAGGCTGAAGAACCCTTTGGGCTCTACCATCTTCTCCACAATGTTGCACTTTGTGCCTGCTGTGCTGTCGTATTCGTAGACAACCCCGTACTCGAGGTGGACATTGTCCACTGTCAGACTCACATGCTCCTTCTTGCCGTCGATAATGGCCATGGTATTGAACTTGTCAATGACCTCTAGAATACAATTTTGGTGCAGTTGAGTCATGTTTGTTCCTCCTCATCAAGTAACTTTGAGTCTCTGGCATTTTTTTATTATTATTTTTATTTTATTTTATTGTTGACACAGGATCTTACTATGTAACCTTGGCTCACCTGGAATTTATCATGTATTCCAGAATGGCCTTAAACTCAATAGACATCAGCCAGGCTCTGCCTCCCAAGTTCTGAGACTGAAGACATTTACCACTATGCCCAGAGAGTCTCCGAATACTTTTGAGTTCTTTAAAGGCTATCTAAGTTAAACATGCTAAATGGTGTATCTGTTCTTGCTAATGCTTTAAGAAACACAAGTAGTTTTTAAGAAAAGCAAATATAGGACAGATTCAAATCTTGCCATATTAATGAATATAATCTGATTGATATATCACTTTGATCAATGAGCCACATGCATACTGATTTACATCAATATAAACACTATAGAGGCGACTGCACCTTTTTTTTTTTTTCATTTGAAGTATATGTGAGGAGCTGGAGAGAAGGAAGGCTCAACAGTTAAGAGAACTTCTGGTCCTACAGAGGACCTAGGTTCAGTTCCCAGCATCCACATGGCTCATGACCATGTGTGGACCAGGTACCCTCTTCTGGCTTCCATGAGTACCAGATATGCACATTCAGGCAAACACTCACACACACACACAATAACAAATAAGCAAGTCTTTTTAGAAAGTGCATATGAATCAAAGTCAGGTGTTCAAAAATGGCCTCTAACATGGGATGAAAAGGTGCTCAAAGGATAAGGAAACAAGAAAGGAAAGAAGGAAGGAAAGCCACAAAGTAGGTCATATTTCAGAGGCAGGAAGGGGATGCAAGAATCATCTTTGTTTCCAGATGCTTGAAGTTTCCCCAACAGCATCTTGGAGAGAGAATTTACCAAGAAAGTCCTTCAATGTTCACTAGACTAAAATTTCCATCTAGAAATTTCAACTACAGTTTATCCTACATTCAGAAAGCTGAGGAGTAAATACCTAAAATCTCATGGAAGAAACTATTGTGTCGCCTAATAGTAGACACTGAGTGAGAGAAAATAAATTATTTATAATAACAAAGTCCTAAAAGAAAAAGGAATACATATATGACATACATAAGATATGTATATATATTTTACATTCATATATTTTTATTTGTGATATATATTTATATATAAAATATATGTGTAAAAGTTTTATTTATAACACTAAAGTCCTGCAAGAGAAAGAATACTTATCTATCTTTTATATAGATATTATTTGTTTATATATATACATGTGTTTATATATAAGCATATACAAATTTATAAATATATAAATATCTATTGTGATTTGAAAGAAAATGGCCTCAAGAAAAAAAGCACTATTGGAGTTGTGGCCATATTGGAGGAAGTGTCAGTGTGGAGATGGGCTTTGAGACGTCTTTTTCCTCAGTGTAACAGTCAGTTGCCTTCCTGTTGCCTGCAAGATATAGGATTCTCAGCTCCAGTACCACATCTGCCAGCATCTTGCCATGCTCCCTATCATGATAAAGAACTAAACCTCTGAAACTATAAATGAGCCAGCCCAATTAAATGTTTGCTTTGTCAAGAGTTGCTATGGTCATGGTGTCTCTTCACAGCAATTAAGAAAAAAAACCCTAAGACA